TGACAGGCCTAGACAGGACTGAACTTTGTGTTTTGGATGAGTGAACAAGCTGCCGTATGCAGGAGGTTGTAGCTGCAGAAAAGTTGAAAACATGGAAGTAAACTGTGCCGTTATTGCCTGCAGTTATCATTGGATTTGTAGTTTAACCACGTACCAAGACCGGTAGCAAACTTAGCACTTTATGAAGACAGATTTATGCAGCCAATACTTCTCTGGAATGATCGAAAGTAAAAACAATTGACTTGACAAAATTAAATTTAAGACCTTGGATGAAAATCTGGGCGTTTTWAAGACAATTTTAGGCCTAAAATTTAGATTTTTAACTTTTAGACCCTGCACGAACCCTGAAACACAATCAAGTTTGATGAAGACCCAAACATCTTGCAGATTTTAAGGATCTTTGGGCCCAACAGCAAACCCCAGTGTTGTGCAGTCAGGACTGAATATTAGGTMAGAATGTTACAGATTTATTTTATACAAATCACTGTTAATCATTTGCTTACTGTCCAGGAGCGGACAGCAGTGCTGGCTGACCTGGCAGAGAAGGCCAGGCTCACAGAGGAGATCTTCAACACGGTACCTGGGATCACTTGTAACCCGGTCCAGGGAGCCATGTACACCTTCCCCCGCRTCGCTCTACCTCAGAAGGCCATGGACAAGGCCAAGGTCTGCTGCAGGACACTTTGATGTGCTTTTTACACAAGCATGACTTAACTTGTGCACCCACAGGAGGAAGGTCTGGTTCCTGACATGTTTTACTGCATGCGCCTGTTGGAGGACGAGGGAATCTGTCTGGTACCAGGAAGTGGCTTTGGACAGAAAGAGGGAACCTTCCATTTCAGGTTTTCKCCTTGAATTTCTAAAATCTCGCACYSATTTCACACGATAYGTTTTAAGTATAACTAATTCTCCACCCCCACATCCAGGATGACCATCCTGCCTCCCGCAGAGAAGCTGAAGGTGGTGCTGCAGAAGATCCGGGACTTCCACCTGAAGTTCACGCAGGAGTTTTCTTAACCGTTCACTTTGAAGAAGTGTCTTAAAGTGCCTTTGTGTGAACGAGGACACTCAAGTTTCAGACTTTATATAAATGAACCACTTTTAAAGATGCACTTTTAGTCATGATCAAAAACATGTTTTAGCTGTGATTTGATTCAATGTTGAAGAAAGTGAAGCTGTTTGTTGCCAAATCTGTTGTAGATTAACTGGACTGGCCTGTATATGAAGCATGATTTTAGGTACTGAGTTTAAACAAAGTGTTGATTTTTAATATGTTCTTAAATGATTTTTTTAGATGTGCTTCCATTAAAAAAATTTCTATAAAAAGAAAAAAACCCTTCTGCACAGCTCTGTATTAATTCACTACAGGAGGAAGTCTCGTCTTAGCGTCGGCTTTTAAAACAGCCATCATTTTCAGTTTTTATTTAAAAATCGTCAGCAGTGCTTTTACATGCTCTCAGAAACAGAAGCTGAATCTCTTGGAATGAACAGAAAGTAAAACTTAGAATTGTCAGTAACACCGTTTTCATTTTTAAACCCGATGCGCTCCCTGGACGTCCTGGACTCCGGCTCAAAGTTCTTAGCTCCTCGCAGAGAGAGAAGGAAAAAAGTCTCAGAGTTCGTCTCTCTGCTGTAGCTTGGTGGCGTGCTCTTCCAGGAACTTGCTGAAGCCCTCCACTGTTCTGTCCCCACCCTCAAACTTCACCGGACTCAGCTTGCTGTTGCTCGGTGCAAAGTATATCGTAGGGAAGCCCTCCACCTTGTAGCTATCGTTCGGCACGTCGTTGGCGGTGGCGTCCATCTTGGCGATCACCAGGTTCTTCTCGTTTTTGTACTTTTTGGCGAGGGCCACGTAATCGGGCTCCAGTTTYTTGCAGTGGCCGCACCAGGGAGCGTAGAACTCGATGAGGACGTCCTTCTGGGGGTCCATGACGATCTGGTCGAACGTCTTTCCCACCACGACCGTGACCGGTCCCTTGTTCTTCGGCACTGGCTGAGACTTGATGATGGGCTTGAGTTTTCCTGCAAATTAAACATTTGAAACAAAGATTAGAAGAAAAACAGGATTTTAAAATGAAAAACACTGGTAATAAATAAATAAAACTCACCTTTCTTAAAAGCAACAACAAAGTCTCTCAGCACCTCTGAATCGAACTCCTCTGGCTCCATGGCAAACTTTTTGCCTCCGTCCGCCAAAATCCCAACGTTCACTTCCTCTCCGCTCTCGCTCAGCCCAAGGCTCTTCAGCTCCTCGGCATAGTCTTCCTCATCAGCGATGGCAAACGTGTACTCCGGGAAGTCTTTGGCCACGTCCAGCACCTTGGACCTCCAGAACTGTGTAGCTGGAAAAAATACATTTTATTCCATTACAGAACATCCACAGATGGAGCATTATAAATATGACGTAATGTAAACAATATAAATAAAAAGTAGGGCTGCAACTAGCGATTTTAATAATCAATTAATCTGTCAGTTTTTTTTTCGATTAAATCGACCAAATCATTAAAACACCTAATTACATAAATATAAGTAGATATAAACAAATTTAATTCCTGTATAAATTAGGGATGCAAATTATTATTTATGTGAAGTTGATTTATCTCATAGTGACTAAAGATTAATCGATAAGCAGCCATTTTCTTAAAAACCAGAGTCATAAAATGAAGGATGTTTTGTATAATATGCTAAATTAAAAAAGACGCACATCAAATATTTTCACAATTGATTTTGCAAGCTGTATTAAACACTGACTGGAAAAAAAATGTGGATTTCTCACATACTAACCTTGGTTATAGCTATAAAAACAAATTTTACAGGTTGCTGAACGAGGAAAACACAATAAAATATGATTTTTAGATGTAAAACTATTATTAATTTGTTATTATAATTAGAATTTATTTACATTTAGAATTTATGATTTTTCTCCAATTCTGCTTCCTTCTTGTTGCTTCTGTCTGTGGCTAAAACGACCCAGTAAACGGTTCTGAAGCAGCCTCCCATCCCTCCCCTACAGAGTCAGACCAGGAGTTCTGCTCGAGTCTTTTCTTCCTAAACTTTATTCAGGTCAGCCGGCATTGACAACGCTCTGCAGGTGATGTCAACGTCTCCGCGACACGGCGAGGGACGCAAACATCGCGCGACACAACAAATAGATAATAAAATTTGTTGGCAACACTTTTAATAATCGATTTTATTAATTCGTTGTTGCAGCCCTAATAAAAAGTAAAAATTACACGTATGTAATGATGTTTTATTCTGATCAAAMTCACCTTTTCTGTAGTCAAAGCTGAAGTCAACGCCATAATACACGACCACCAGGGGTCTTTTGGCATAGCGTTTAGCATCATTGCTGGGTTTTCTGTGTCCCACCAGAGGAACGGAATGTTTTTTGAAGAATTCCTCAAYGTCTGATACGGTCGTGGATTCCTGTAATTAATTAAAAAACAAAAAACAAAAAAAACTATGAACTTGTGACACTTAGGGAAACACCTGAACACATCAAAACCAAAAGACTCATTCTTGAGTTTCATAACTAGTGAAACTGATGCAAAAAAAAGTAGTAAAAAGGCTGCTGCACCTTGACTGTAAGTTTCTGAGATGCCGGTTCGTACTTGGAGCGGAACTTTTCGGGGTGAACGATGACGATCTGACCGGGAGACGCCTTCAACAGTTTGGCCACCTCTGCGCTGAAGGAGTGGCGGAAGGTGAAGTCCTCTCTCAGAGCGTTACCTGCCAGACAAACACTGCGCTCAGCTCACTGTTCCTGTTATTCCAGCACTTAACGCTCAAACTACAGTTAAACCGRTCACTTACAGGCCTCGCTGTAGAGCTCATACGCTGCGTCCTGCTCGCTGGAGAACACGCCGACTATCACGGCATCGTCACCGTCCTTGATGAGCTCCTGGACCTGTTTCCCTGCCTGGACCTGCTTCGAGGGGGGTCCTGCCTGCTCACTCATGTAGTCCACGATGCCTARAGCAAGAGGAAAGGTTTTACTTTAGCTGGGAGAGAAGATGCAACAACAAACTAATACAGCTAATCTGGGGGTTTTTTTCAGTGTACAGTAAAGGTYATGAGAAACAAAAGAGGATATTTCTTTACTGGGAAATAAAAAGTTTACAAGGAGGAGGGTCACCTTAAAACCTGATGGTCTATCACAGCAATAAGTATAGTAAATATAAATGTCTGATTAGAGCTGCCACAATGAGTCGACTAGTCACGATTATGTCAACTATTAAAATCGTCAACGACTAATTTAACAGTCAAAGCGTTGTTTTTTTTCTAACTTTGTATTTTTTTAATAATTGTTGTTTAAAAATAATTGTTTATGGCAGCCCTAATTACCACTACTGTGCATGTGTGTCAAGGACAGAAAG